GTTTTTCGGTGCCAGGCGAAGACCTTTTTATTTAAACGTCATTTTAATTGTTAATATTATTTGCTTATTTTATCTGGCCAGGGCGACTTATTTTATATTGTTAATTTGTTGTATATTTGGATGTATTATATTTTAATTTTATGTTGTGAGCTGCCCCGAGGCTTCGGCGAATGGGGCGGCATAGAAATGTTTTAATAAATAAAATAAATAAAATCATGCTAGGCTGCTATTGTTCATTTGCAATGTGGTGTCCAGCAGCTGAGCAAGAGGTAGCGTCATGGCCAAGCTCCAAAGGGCTACTTTAAGGTCTGCAATTCTCAAACCATCACCACTTTGAAAAACAGATCCTCCATTTTGCATCACAAAGTGCTCCCGAAGCTCCTTTGACATTTAAAGCCCTATACACAGACACAGACACAGCTATGCAATTATTTAAACACTGTCCAGTATAATCCAAAGGAAGTTGGAACATTTTTTATAAAGTAGCTCTGAAATCAACCTTTGAACTTCTCATTCCTGCAAATGTCACATCACCTAAAACATGTGTGTTGTTTTAAATAGCTCTTTTCTTTTCTGTAACCACATTACCAACACTGAGAACATTAAGATGTTTAAGACTAAGAGAATGTGTCTTCCCTGCAGCACGATCTTTTTGCAAACCACCTCAAACATAAGAAGAGACAAGCTAAAAATGAAAACTGGTAGAGCACGGGAAACAGGAGATTTTAACCCCCCTCCCTGGCATGCCAATAAATAATCTGTGTGACTAAACTGTATCTCTGTTACATTAGATTTTTTCCTATTGTTAAAACTAGGGCAAAATTTATTTATTTATTTATTATTTTATTTATTAAAACATTTTAATAACATTTATTAATAAATTTTAATAAAAATGTGTTCCTTCCTCCCATTTTTACATACTGTCATTTCAAATTAAGAAACTAGAGGTTTGCACAAGCTCCTTCAGAGCTCTTCATCCATTTCCTTCTTGGAGCGTGCCTCCCTAGGGATGATGCCTCAAGATCGTCACACTAATGTGCATGGTCCATAGAATGCTGGCATCAAATGGCATTTGTGCCACATCAGCGTTCAAGAATACTCAGCTCAATAGCAAGCATACACCACTGTGGCTCTAAGCATTTTGCGAGTTCCACATGTGTCCATCTTTATTGAATTCTCCCAGCCTTTAAACATGTACACAGACTGTACATGAACTGTAAACTGCACAGAGAGTTCCAGCAGTCAAGCAATATAGAAATTACTGAAAGTTGTAGTAGTAGTAAAAGTGAAGGAGACACAGGTTGATTTCTGGATGGGCCTAGGCAGCCATAACCTTCAGGCGTGCAGGACACATACAGAGTGATAAGGGAGGCTGAGGTAATCGGAAACTCCAAGTAAAAGCATAGTTTTAACTGGTAAAAGTAGTTTCAGCAAATTTTAAGTGGCAGAAATAGTTGTGAGCAGGCATATTAAGAAGACCTGCGTTGAGGCAAATTATAGCGAACCAAAGTAGAGTTTCTGACATCCTTTGTGTGGATAGATAGATAAATGATGTGAAAAGTTTGAACGGGGCTCTCTGCAACCGTAGAGTACAGCAGACTTCTATTTTGCAAAATAAATCTTTTTTACTCTTACCCTCTTGTCGCGAATGATTGGGCTGACGTGCCAAGGCAGAACCCCATTATGGCTAAGAGTAGCTGTAATAATAGGAAACTCAGAAACTTTGATTTAGAATTTTTGTTCTTCCTGGTAACGTGTCTACAATTACAGGACTCCTCTTAGAGGCAAATGTTCAGAGGTCTCTGCAGGCTGACTTGCTTACTTTCAAGAACAACTGACCCCCAATATATTATACAGGACCAAGACCAGGGTACATAAAAATCAATGGTTTTAAAAAAAATAAAAAATGGATTTTTAAATTTAAAAAATTGATTTAAATGCTAAATCAAAATTTTTATTTAAATTGGTTTTTTTAAATGCTTTTTGAGGAAAAAATTATCTAAAGATAGCTTTCTGTTTAAGATATATTATAGTCCAAAGGTTATTCATCATAAAATAAGGATTAGTTTTTAATTATGTAGCATGAGGCTGTATATTCAATTCATTTGGTAAATGAATTCATTAATCCATTCACAATGCCACGCTCTTCTGAAGTTTCTGCAAGATTACTGGGCAATTTTTCTATCTAGAAGAGATTATCACAGATGCTTGGTTTTACAGTTCTCGAAACTGTGCATGTGTGTCTGCAGAGTTGATATGCTTCTTCTTCACAGCAAAAATATTAACACAAACACACTGAGTTGAGAAAAGGACCTTAATTTTGTTGTTCCTGTGCAAATCTATGTACACCGAATCAACCCCTTACCACTTCAGTACTAAGTTTCAAAAAATTCAATGAATAGAAAAAAATTGTTGGGAATGGAATAGATCTGCACAAGAAGGAAAGTGTGTGGAGGCAGAGGCAAGCCTGAAACTTTTTGAACAGAATACTTCAAAGGTCTTTGGATCTTTTTGTGTATAGCCTGAGGTTTATCATATTATTCTTTCCCCGGAGAATAAAATCTATAATGGCAGCAAGCCATAAGAGACCAAATTTGGGAATATTTTAATGAGGTTTCTGTGCCTACGGATAAGGCAGGTAGGCATGCAAATTATGTAGAAGACCATGATTAAAATCTATTCTTACTGGCTAGTGATATAAATTGGGATTTGAATCAAATCCACCCTGCCACCACTGGAGGCACATTTGGTGGGAATGTGCTGGAGGCCCTTCTTGGTGGCTTTGGAACTCCCTACCAAGAAAGGCCAGGCTAGCTCCATCTTTATTGTCCTTCTGCCATCTCCAAGACATTTTTATTCAGCCAAGCTTTGGGCTTTTATTATTTGTTTACTAAAGCTTTTAACTGGTGGATGCTGTTGATTTTTTAAACTGATGCATATTTAATTGATTTCCTTTTACGTTTTAATTATAATTTAGAGTTCGTTGTTGTTAGCCACCTTGAGCATGATTTGTAGTGGAAAGGTGGGATATACATTTAACTAATCAATAATCACTTTCCTTGTACATTTCAGAGGGTCACTTGATGCTAAGGAGGCTGAAGCAGCTAGGGAGACGTAGTGTACACACGACCTCCAGACACACCAGGAGCACCCAGGTAATCGACACTCTGAAGCACTGATGAGGCAGACACTTATCAGCCGCAGGAGACCCATCAGTGCAGAGGGAGACGAGTTCCTGGAGCCTTCCAATACAGACAAACTCAAGTGTTTATGCATTGCTTGTTTGCATATAACACTAAGCCACAGTTTATGCTAACCATGGTTTGTTTCTATAGCCATGCAGTATGTTGCAGATGGCTTGTTTCCCGTTTCTGGTTTGTTTCCCTCTTGCCCATTTTGCCAGTCTTCAGAATGATTTATTTTTGCAACTTCTTTTGGTGGTTACTTCTGTTTCAAGGTACCAGCATCAATATGTCAAGGATAAGTCATGGTTTAAGGTTCAGACATCACAACAAGCAATGGTTTAAACAAGGCAGACTCAGTAAGCCAACAACAAACCATGGCTTCTCTGTGTGTTTTGTAGCAGGACAACAAACCATGATTTGTTTGTGGGGATGGGTTTGGAAACAAGTGCATTTGCATGCCACACTAGCAATAAGCCACAGTGGGCTTATTCCCTGAGCAACCCACAGTGCCCCAATGAACAATCAGCCTCACTGTGGGTTGTCTGCCTCTTCCCTTCCCTTCAGTCTTCCCACAGATATCTCAGGCAACGCCATGCCAGGACTGACTTGTCTGCCCTCCCCTGCCACAATCTTGAGCCAATTTCAGCTTGCTGCAGCCCCTTTACTCTTTTTTCTGGCCAGATCATGAAGCCCAGCCTGACAGCTGGTTTCTGCAGCTTGCATTTTGACAACCACTGACAGCCCCTTCAAAGTGCCTGAGTGCCACATATTAGGCACCGTTAGGGTTGGCAAGCCTTTGTAATTGTTCCGGCTCACTCAGTAGATGTAAACAGTTTTATTTTCTATTTTAAAACTGTTTTAGCTGTAGATGCAACTGAACAGGAATACAGTTCTGGAAGTGCAGAAATCAGAAGCCTTGGTTGGGCCATGCTGGAAGTGTGCCTGTGTCAGACTGCAGGGTACCAACCCAAAGAGACCCAAAGAGGGTCCAGATGGGTTTTTTCTTCTCTTTCTCTTCTTGACAGCTGTCAAAAGACAAACAGTCAAAAGAAAGCAAAGGCGTGCAAAAAGGGGTGGTGCAATTTATATCTTCTCCATGGCAAGAACCTTTGTGTTGCCTCCAAAAGGGTGGTATGACAGGGCAATGGGGAACACTGGACTGGGACATATCCAACCATATGTCTCAGGCAGAAACCACATAAGAAACCACAGCAAACATGCTGCGGTCCTTGATTATAATCCTGGTTTAGCCATAACTACCCTTTTCCTAACATTTACTACTTGCCCACTTTTTTTCTTTTTTGACTATGGAAGGCTAGATTGTATATGGTAGGGCCAGAGTGGATTGAACCTGCTTATATTTGAGAGTATTTTTAAATTGTATTGCCAGTTTAATAATCAGTATTATTTCCAATGAATAAATACTTATAAAATTATCATCTTTTTTCTTTAGAAAAAGCAATGAGCCCTTACCTCTGAATGTAGGTTAACCTTCAAGTCTTGAATGTATCTATCAAGTTCAAGTCTGAATGTAAACTCTTAAGGAAATAAACCTGTGTCAGAAATAATTTATTTTCAAACATCTAAATTGTACTTTCAGTATAGATATGGCATCTACATTTTTGTTTTATGTTCTGGGATCCTTAATTAATAACTATTTTGGAAAGACATGTAATTAAACATATAATTAAAAGTCTTCAAATTCATAGAACTGTAGAATTCAAGAGCGACCAGTATCTTCAACAGCGAGCTGTCAGAAGTGTTACAAGGTCTACTAAAAATATATAGATGCATATGGTTGCTAAGATGTTCCAGTGATTTTCAGAAAAACAGTTTTTGAACTATTGTACTTCTGCCACTGCAGTATCTGCATTCAGAAGTATTTGCTACCAAATTATCAGTCAGCCTTTTGTGGGGGGGGGGGGGGGGGGGGGATTCTGAGCTTGAAAGAAAATACATTGGCACTTACCTTTATTTTCATCAGGAACGAACTATTTTTATCATATCAGCTTCAAATATATTCCTGGAATCATAAGGACTAGAAAATTACTGCAGATCCTGCATGTAACAACATAAAACCGGTATTCTCATCCATCTAAAGGAATTAACATGGAATGCTTATACCCAGAGGTCTGGAAGTTATTATCTTTGGCCTAAATCCAGGAAGTAGCCACAATAACATGCACTGAAAAATGACTTTTCTGCTGTCAGCTTCTATTTTCACATGTAAATAATAAATATAAGAAAAGGATATAGTTCAAGCCCCTTTTCTGAGCCTCCCAAAAAACAGATCACGTAGTCTAGAGGGCTGCTGCTTGATTCTGGGTTTGTCGTTTCTGCACAATTTTCTGGTTGGAACAGGCAGTAATAGCAACCAACTTGACTTTCCGGTATACTGTCAGAAGAAATAATAAACAATCGCATAGTGGTGGTACAAAATGAATTTCACTCTGTAGTCCAATTTGTCTGCTTATGGATCAGATTACAAACTGGACATGTACAAATGGAACACCTGTTCTAACCTAATTGAAAACCAGTTTCTGAGGCCATGATCCACACAGGTATTTCACTCTAGTCCACACAACATGCTTTGTACTTCCAGTAACTTCTTCATTCTATCTCAGGGGCTTACCCACACCTCTCTGCCCCCAGACTAGCTAGAGATGGATGCCAAAAAAATCACCTGTCTCCTTGCCCTGCATCTCAAAATAAACCACAAAAGTGAATGGGGATTAAAGTGAGAGAAGGCATGGTCAAGCTCAGCCTTTGTAAGAAGAAAAGCTGCTAGGGGACTTACTTCCGAGTAGATGGAAGGAAGAGGGCCTTGCCAGTGGTAGCCCCTCACCTGTAGAGTGCTCTCCCCACTGAGTTCTGCTTGGTATGAACTTCAGCAGCTTTTTGGTGCCTGGTTCAGATATAATTCTACTCCCAGGCACATAATGGAGCTTTCTGATTTCATTTGTTTTATTATGTCCTAGTATCTCATTACAGTCTTTGTTTAAACGTTTTAAACACTTTTAAAATGTTATATCTTACAAATGTAATTAAGTATTTATTCTGTGGCATTTTGCAGCTGTAAGTTCTGTGAATCTTCTGGAAAGTTTTCGCTGTTTATAGGAATGAAATCAACAAAATAAATGAATGTATAAGATTTTGTCGCTTACCATCAAGTAACTGAGTACAAGACTGCTGCCAAAATATAGTAAAAATTATAACTGATGAACAACTTAGAGTAATTGCATGTCCTGCCTAGCTTTAATCACCAAAAGTGTGCTATCTTTTCCTATTTTCAATGCTTAAGCACACAAACTATGCAGCTCTTCAACAAGGTAATGATAAGATGAGGCATGCTTTTTATACATAAATGACTCCTGCATGAGCTAAGTTTAGCAACTCTATTCCAACAGGGGGAAGACAAAAAAATAGCCATGTCAGAAAAGTTGCTTCTAATCTTTCCTCTGAAAGAGAACCATTGTATAATTTTGTACTGCCATCAAAAGAAATGACACCCTGAGAAATTTCAAAGTAAAGACATGAGAAAATGGAAAGAAAAGAACATTTTACAATACTGGTTTTAAAAACAAACTTTAAAAATAAATGAGTCCTACAACTCCCAGAATTCCCCAGTATGGCGGATGGCTAGGGAATGCTGGGAGTTGTTTAGGTAGAAAAAGTTCCAGATGTGTAGTCTGCTGTCTTTAAACTAGATGTCTGTGTTAACTTTATTGTGTCTAACACAGAAGAACCATTTATTGTAATAGTAATAAACACATAATTAACAGATTTTTAAAGTATGTTTCTTCTTACCTCAACTCTACCAGTGCAATGTTGCCCATCCCTTCAAAAAAGGCTCCTTTAGCAAGGTGCTTGGCAATAAAAGCACGTAGTTCTGTCTCGGCTTCAGCTGGTAGGTTAGTGTCCACCAAAGAGAGGCTTCATTAAAAACAAACAAACCATCTCTGTTATGTAAGAGAGTGCTCAAATAGCTACCCAATTAGCTAACTAGGCTCTGCACATCTGAGATTAGAGTCAAGGCTTCAGAGAAAAGGGATGCAGTGTCTGGCTGGACATGAAGCTCTAAGTTCATCTCTTTTAAATATATATATATACACACACACACAAACACACACACACATCATTCCTTGGAATAAGTTCAAGAGCTATAAATAGCTTCAGGTATCCTTACTCTAAGCTGCCACAACTTATTTTCATTTCCACTACCTCTTCCTAGTATGAAAGTCTCCCACTAAGGAACGTTAATAATGCTTCCAAAATTCAAATGAGGTTTTAGGTGAGTACCAATATTTAGAATAGCACAGTTCTGTAACTACACAAACTGTAATTAGCATAGAGTTACCTGAAATCATCTGAAGATGGTGTTCCAGCTGATGGACTGCTTGGACTCCCATCATCATCTACTCCTCGATGCAACCTGAAAAGGCAAGATCAATTATACACACACACACAAAACGTATAGCCACAAATGGTGGGTTTCATCGTTCTTTGAGCACTGGCGGATAGGAACCAGCAAAGACAACTGAGGCAAAGAATGGAACATGTAAGAAACCAAAACTGATCTTTGACTCAGATGTGTTCAATTGGCTCAGTGTTTTGGATAGCTACCTAGATAACCCAGCTATGTAGATAACTACCTAGAGAACCATAGTTGTCCATTGTTTTGGATAGCTACTTAGATCCAGGTTGGCTGTTTGCCTTGAGAAGAATTGAAATCGATGTGACAAAACAGTGCACTTCTTCACCTACACCACCATTTCAACGCATATTTGGAAGCAGAGTAGTGATTCTTAAACAATATTAGGGACTGTTGGGGGGGGGGCTGCAGCTCAGTAGTACATGCTTTGCATGGAGAAGGTCACAAGTTCAATACCAAGAATCAATCAATCTCTCTCTCTCTCTCTCTCTCTCTCTCTCTCTCTCTCTCTCTCTCATCATGTACTATCTAATGTGAAAGGTGTGTTCTTATGTGCACTTATAAGCACCACAGGGGATGCCAGGACTTAATTCAGAATAAATGTGCATTGAATCAGGTTACTTGGCTATCTGCCTGAGATGCTGAAGAGCCATTGACAGTCAGAGCAAACAGCACTGGACCAGATAGACAAAGAGTTGGACCTGGTATAAGGCAAACTCCAATGTTTTTCAATGGCGATTTCAGAAACAGAGGCTGGTGATTATTTCAGAATAATTCAGAGCACACTCCAATGTGGCTGGCTGTAACTTTCTGAACGCGGAAGGTTCCAGGCATCCTATCAAGGGTGTAAGAAGCATAGAGGCAAAGGTCACCTCTGTCCTTCTGCTCTGCAATAGACTATATGTCAGTTCCAGTCACCCCTAAGTCTTTTGCTCCTGCACAAGAGATGGAGAGGCTGAGGTGCCACTAGGACATGTTGCACTTCTCACTTCTGGGAAGAAGCCTCACTTCTCCCACAACACCAACTGAGCACCAGCTCCAAGTAGGGTCTTTTGACCTCAGAGTCACAGCTAGCCATGAGGGCAGAGGAAGGGTGCTCCGAAGTGGGAGTTCCAGCTCTTGGCTCAGACTGCCTTTTCAAGGTCAGAGCTGGGATTCCAACCACTCCTACAGCTGGCCAGACAGCATCTACAAACCAAAGGTTTGCATCCAGTCGGAGTAAGATGGCATTTGCTTATATGCACACCACATGAGCATTTTGATAACTGAGCTAAAAAAGGATAGAGATTGATTTAAGTACACTGATAGCCAAAAGAAAAGCGGAATATCATGTTTAAGACCATTTCAGGAAAACTGGTCAACGTGTAAAATGGGTATGGAATTTGAAGTTCTCCAGATGTTGCTGAGCTGTCACTCCCATCAGCTTTAGCCAGCATAGTCAATGGTGAGAGATGATGGGAGTTGCAGTCCAACAACATCTGAAGAGCCACAATGCCCATGCCCCATCTAAAACATTTTATACTTTAGAACACACCTGTTAGATGAAAACACTAAAAGATGGTGCTTAGAGTTGCACAGTTAAACTAGGATAAAGGGGTTTTCTATCCTTCAGTATAAAGGAACAACACTAGTTTGTTGAGAAGTCTCAACAAATTTAATGCACCCATGTTGAGCAACAGTCCTTACAACTACAGCCAGGCAGCCCGACAGAATGCACATCTATTTTAAATTAAGTTCTCTTGTCTTCTGTGGTGCTCACTCTCAAATACGCATACAAGTGCAGCATGACACAGGTATTATTGTACATAGTGGTAGCAGTAAATTTGAACTGAACACCTAACTGGAACTTCAGGATGCGATCTGAAACACAAATCCAGGGTGCTGATGTGCAAATGAGCATGTAATTTATCAGGAATGGCATTGAAAATAAGATAATAAGTAACATAATGCCAGAATATGATAAATATTTTGGGCAGACAATATTTAGGAACATAGGAAGCTGCCTTACAGTGAATTAGACCCTTGGTCCATTTAGCACAGTATTGTGGATACTGACTGGCAGCAACTCTCCAGGATTTCAGGCAGGACTTGTTCTGCATCGTGTTTAGAAATATGGGGAAGCTGAACTAGAGCCCTTCTGCAATCAGGACATTTGTTTTACTGCATGCCCTCCCATTCAGAAGGTTATATGCAGTTTTAGGCACCCCAGAAAAATACAGTACAAAGCTGAAAAGGCTAAAGCAAAAGTTAACAAACTGCAATTCATACATATTTACTCAGAAGTAAGACATACTGAATTCAGTGGGACTTTATTTATACTTTCATTATATGCTTCCTACTACTGTAGTCTCAAGGTGGCTTACAAATAAAGATAAAAACACATACATCAAGAAAAAACACATATGAAATAGAACTTCATTATCAAAATTAAAAACCTAACTTTGATAGGATTAAAGTCTAGCTGCCCACTCCAATTCTGGAGAATTTAGTCTTTGTAAGCTTGCTGAAATCAATGGGCTCAGGACATTCTTAAACCACGCTATAAAGAAGCTGCAATTACAATCAAAAGTTCGAAGTACCCTTTCGATGAGTATAGACTAACATTTGCAGCTTTTGAGTTCAGAAAAGCAAATAAAATAAGGCATGTGAGGTAATAAACAAGTGCCACTTTTAATACTGGGAGAGGGGTTCCTAAGGAACCACAGGTACTGCCTGGTCACTGTGGCAATCAGAGAATAGGACCAAGTAGAATCTAGCCTACATCAGTGAAACTATCCACCTGAGTTTGGAACAAACTGGAGGTGGAGGGGAAGAATCACGACAAGCTAAAATAATCGGTCGTAAATTAAGGCCCCCAGATATTTAGATAGGAATGACTGGAGCCTTTGAGGGGTCCGGATGGGAGGTATGGCAAAGCGCCGGAGCAGGGAGAGACCCAGAGATAAGGCCCAGTATCTCCATCGCCACCACCTCACCGGCAGCTTTGGTAGCCGTATAGACAGAAGTAGCTGCTAGTGCTGCGCTCCGATTTCCGCTCCTCCAGCAGGCCGCTGCCGTCCTCGCTACTCTCCACCTCCCTCTCGTCTCCGTCGACGGACTCCTGCAGCGAAGGCAACATCTTTGCTTTGCGGTTCGGAGCAGGGAAAACCCTTTCCCCCTATTGCCGTACAGTGTAACACACTATTCTGCTCCGTCGCTTCTCCACCACCCCATTCCGTTACAAAGGTTCCGGCTACACTTAAACGGCCGCCGTCGAGGTACCTGGGAAAGACGGTTAGTCCCCCTTAGCTGAGAGAATCGTGTAGGTCTGTTGTGATAAAAACAAGCCATGTGGCACCCTAAAGAATGACAGATTGATTCTGACCTAAGCTTTCATAGACCCTCTCCACTTTATCAGATCAAAATCAATCAGAATCAATGTGTTAGTCTTTAAAGGTGCCACAAAGCTTTGATGTTATAAGCCTCAATGAATTTAGGGGGCTTCCTTCCCAGTAAACGCACATAGCTTTGGCATTTATTTTCTTTAGCTTTTATACCGACTAATTAACAATGCAGCTATATGTCTGTTCCTAAGTAAGCCTGAGTTTCATAAAATTTATTCTTAGGTGAGTTACACGTTGTTTCCGGAGCCCCAACGGAGCTCGGCGGGATTCGATTTTGAGTAAACGTGGAGAGGACTGCGTTGCCTAAGCCCTTAAATGAGCTTGAAGGTTATCCTTGCCACTCAGAAACTGGTGACATGCGTCTATTCACAGCTTAGCATTCATAGCATTACCGCCTGAAGCTTATTAAGACATGTTTAAAAGTGGAAGTAAATAACGCAGTGCTCGTTAGCACTAATTCTGGGGGAATCTGGATATCGGCTAGCGATTCTCAACACACGTGTTGACTAGCGAATGTCTCTGAACTCGCGGAAGCCCGCGCGCGGAGGCGACTAACTTGCCGTTCGCGCCGCGTGGCCGAATTACTCGCGTTGCGCGCTGGGCGCAGGGGAGGAAGAGGCAGAGCCGCGAGTGACGAAACAATGCGTGACACCGCCCCATCACACCCTCCTGCGCACTGCATTCTGGGAAGCTGAGGGTTTGGCGGCGGGCGGCCATTTTACGTCTGGCTGAAGACGAATCGCGCGCGAACTGCCTCTGGTGCCAGCGGCAGATCGTGGTTTAGTCTTATACTTTCTCTCGCTTAGCCGTCGTCATGGGACGGAAGAAGAAGAAGCAGTTGAAGCCTTGGTGCTGGTATCCTTTTCTGTTCGATGGGGCGGCCGGCCTCTCATTTGGGAGCGACCGGGCGGCCTGGTTTTCTCTTTCCTCTGGAGATGGAGCGCCCCGTGGCCTAATTTTGCTAGGCCGCGGTGCTGGTTCTTATTTTGACTTGTTTGTTGTAGCCTCCGTGCCTTTCCGGGGCTTGTTTAAATACTTCGTAGCAAGCCCTTGGGGTCGAATTGGAACTCCAAGTCTCTGACTTGAATCTACAGGAAATCAGCTCGTTGGGGTATTTCCTCAGCTCTCCCGTGAGGCCTTGCTCACAGCTTGTTCCATTTTAACGCGTCTGTGGTTGCCAGCGTTGCTGCGGTAGCTATGCCTTTAACAATAATTTGATGGGGAGGCGTTAAAAAAGTGATAATGTTTATGTATTTGAAAAACCTAACTTGTTAGCTTATGCACATCATGTGACTCCTCCGCAAGAGCAGGCCAGGCTATGTTGTCAGTCAAGCTAGCCATGTAGGTCTCTGTCTCTAGTTTTCCACGTTCGTGGTATTGCAGATGACCTCGTTCGTACCGATTTCAGAGGTTACTGTCATTATGTTTTTTAAAAAAAGGACTCTTTATGTTGAGCTGTTTCTTTCATCTTTTTTTCTGCTTTAGTTTTTCATATTGATTGGGAGGATGAATTTTATTATCCACATTTTTGGACTTTAAAAGGAGCAGGGGTAGAGAGGTTAATTAAATTATTCTTCATAGTATAATTTTTAGTTTCATTTCCTGTTTTCCCCTTTTGCCCCCGCTTGTCCTTTTGACTTTGAATAATAGTTCTGCGAATATAGCTAAGGTTGTACAGCATATAGAAGAGGATGATAGGACAGCAAGGGTTGGTAATCTGAAGTCTTCTCTGGTAGAGGGTATCAGTAGAAAAGGAGAAGTACATTTGAACTAGTAGTGAAATGAGAAAGTGAGAAGTTCAATTTGGCAGTTTCATTTCCATATTTAGTTTATGGTGATGTCTTATAAGGATAAAATATTTATTAAAATTAAAAACTTTAACCTACATATTTTCAAAATAGGATGCCAGTTCCAATAACACTTTTTTTGCTGTGGACACTATGAAACGTCATGTTAGAAATGAAAAAGAAGAAATGCAAAGGAAATCTAGTAATTTATGGTTATTGCCTAATCACATGTCATAAAATGCTTTTCTAGTCATTGTTACATTATTTTGAATCAGGTACCTGTATTAAAAGCAGATTGCAGCACATATATCAACAGGCAGTTCAATTCTAAGTAGTATAACTGTCTCAGTATATCTCTGACATGATTCACAAGTAATGCTTAATTGTGGTTTTGCCCCTCCTCCAAATCCTCCAATAGAGGTAAAAATATGGTAGGTAGCACTATAAATAATGACTGCCAGCTGAGCCACACCAAAACATCTGTTCTTCTAAAATTAAACTTAAATTCCCTTTCCTATCATATGCTATATAATGTGTAGCATTTCTTATAATTGTGTATGAGAATCTATAGCTGGATACCCACTTTATTGCATAATGGCATTGGCCAGTATGCTTAACATTCCTCCTTCCCAATAAAGTTGTATGTATATACAGGAATTAAACTGTAATTATGGGTGGTATGCATTTAATTTTAATGAATGTGTTGTAGGTTCATGTTTTCCTTAACAACTTGAAATAGGTATTGTAACAGGGATTTTGATGATGAGAAAATTCTTATTCAGCATCAAAAGGCAAAGCACTTTAAATGCCATATATGCCATAAGAAATTGTATACTGGACCTGGCTTAGCTATACATTGTATGCAGGTAAGTGTTCAAGTATATCCATGTGTTAATTGCTGTAAAACAATGTGAAGGTTTTTTTTTTTAATTTTTACATTCTTAGCAGTGTTTGAAAATAAAAATATTAAGCTTGTATTATTTTCAAATACTATTGCTGGATTCCAGAAACAGTTACAACAGTAAAGGCCTAATAGGGTGTTCTTTGATTGGGAAATAAACATAACTAGTGATCAGTATATGTGGGGAGCCAGTCTGTAAAGTTTTCCATATGGAAGTTTTCATTATAGAGGTGGAGGTCCTTATTGCTGGTGGCATCAAGTTTGTGGAATATCATCTCCAAAAGACAGAATGGGTTCTTCTCAGCTACAGGAGACCTACTGATATAGTAAATTTAATTGGTTCAATGGTCTTTGGTTAGGTACATAAAGAAACAATAGATGCTGTTCCAAATGCTATACCTGGAAGAACTGACATTGAACTGGAAATTTATGGAATGGAAGGCATTCCAGAGAAGGACATGGATGAACGGAGAAGGCTGCTTGAACAAAAAACACAAGGTAAATTGAAACCCTTTCTTTTCATCAGTATTGAGGCATTGCAACACTGTAATATTTTGATACAACAAACTTTCCAATGCATAATCCTTTTACTGTGAACAATTTAGAGTGTGATTTTCCAGTGATCCTATGAAATTGTTAAGACACTAAAATTTATATTTATGCACTCATCAGCTTACGCACGTTATTGTTAAGTATATGCAGAATACATGGTGACTCTGAAATACTTTTGATTGTTCTTAAAGTAATATACTTTTAAAGTATTATTTCATAGTGTTTTTAATTGTAACATTCTAGTCATGTTCTTTTTACATTAGATTGAAGCTAAATTTTAAGTCAGGATATTTTATCAAAAACTTCTTGACTTGATACTGTTCAGTTCTTGAGGATCCAATAATTGTCTTCAGAACAGTTTGATATGTTTGTGAAAAATACCTACTTTAAGTTTGGACTTAATATTTCACTATTTCTAATATTGAAAGGAGTTAATGAATATAAATATAAGGTATAACTCAATAAAGCTTTCTGTCTGAAGCAAAATTACAAGTGATTCCAAGATGGAATGTACCTATTTAGCAAATAATTACCATCTGAATGTAAACATCTTTTTCAGCAGAAAGCCAGAAAAAGAAACAACAGGATGATTCTGATGAATATGATGATGATGAATCTTCAGCATCAACCTCATTTCAGGCACAGCCTGTGCAACCCCAGCAGGGATATATACCACCAATGGCACAGCCGGGTTTACCTCCTGTGCCAGGTGCACCAGGAATACCTCCAGGTAGCTTGTTATTAAAGATGAAAATAATATGTATTGCTTATACTATAAATAATTGCAAATAATACAAAGAAACAAAATGTAAAGCATGAGAAATTGGACTTTCCATTTCTCATTTAACATTGAAATTTAAATAGATCCATCATAAAAACATTCAGTGATTGGTTTTATTTAGCTTAGTTTATTCAAATTATAGAGAATTGCTTTTATTTATTTTAGTTAGGAGATTTATAGGCCATTCATCACTGTCATCTGTTGTCAATGACTTTTAAAAGCCATTGAAATTCTCTGCATAGTATTTGCTCAAATTTTCTTAGCTATTGTAGCATATAATGCAACGTGATAGGATGTATGTTTATTTAGGAAAGTAAATATTCAGGTACATGATTTGTTTATAACCCTGTACACTGAGACAACAAAAGAGTACATTCTGGAAGAATTGTATAATAGAGCAGTAGAACATGGACTAAACCCCCTGTGCAACTACTTCCACAGATATTACATCATAAGGAGCTAACATTTGCTAGAGCTTGTTATGTGAAGTGTAGTCTTAGCTATAGGAAAATAATGTCCTGTTGATCCTTTGCAATTTGGTGGTCTTTTTCCTAATGGCAAATTATGGAGAATTTTTAGTGATCACTTCCCTATCCTAGTTTTAAGAGTGAATCATCTGATTAGTTTGGAGGCCATAGCTAGCTACATACTTTAAAGGATTCATGTATTGCCACAGTACTCTTGACAAGTCTATATTCTACCTGATCTCATTTGCTCACACCAGTGTTTCTTTAGGAATTTTAAAACAGTCATTTAATCCACACCAATACTGAATCATATTCTTAACTTCTGATTCAATAGGAAAGAGACCTCTTTCACCTCTCAACAGGTTTGCTGGTGTCTCTGAAGATAATGCAAGGGTTTTCTTTAACATCATTTCTAAAGTATTTCCAGTGAAACTGTACTTTCTTCTCTCCAAATCTCAGTTTCATAAATAGTGGGAATAATAAAATGCTTGTTTTAGCAGTTTCTTAAATAGGAAACGATTTAATAGGATGATGCTTAGAACTAAAACAATTACATAAATAACAATTGAAATCCTAAGTAGTTTTATACTAAACAGGAACACATTCCTGTTATATATTTGAGAGTTCCAAAATAAATCTTAGCAGAGGAGAGTGTAAGATTGCCCAGAAAACAGATAAACTTAATTGCATCAACAGAGACATCCCCTCCCCCCAAACAGTTCTGTATTGTTGTTCTAATTTAATAGTTCTTTAAGTGGAATATTTGTCTTTGGTATCAAAATCAAGTGCTTTGACTTTCCCTTTATTAGGTAGTGAGATATGCTCCCTTTAGGTGGATTGTTATAAAGTTGTTATGTCCACAGCACAATTGGGCTAGCTGCCAGACACCTTGATAGCCCTTAGCCTGTTGGGGCAGTTGGGTATTGGGCTGTCTGTCATTGAAGAGCTGTGCTTGGGCATAGTAGATACACGGGGAACAAACTCTATTTGAATTACAGGCATGCATTGAAATATTGAATTTAACGTACAATCTTATGGACACTTGACAGAGTCTGGAAGGTGGCCAGTCAAGTCTCCCAGTCTGGGGGGATGGGGGGTTTCATCTCCACTGAGGGTACCAAGACGATAGGGTGTAGCCTGAGGTAGTCAACAGAGCATAATCTCATCACATGCCTCCTACCTGAAGGCAGGAGGGTATTAGCAGGGCCAATAAGGAGTTCTGTTAAGGAAGTGATCAAGGAGGCAGTATGTTTGTTGGTCTTCTATCATACTAAGGGTGTCTCCCTATTGTGAAGGTACCCTGGTGAGGCCAGAAGGAGATAACTAAGATGCGACATTTTAACTAAAACACAGGGTAACTAGAGTAGCTGGCCATAGGATAATTCAAAATCTAGCTCCAATCTGTGAAACATGCTACAAGTGCTGTCCTGCCCTTGTGGCTGATGTGGAAAGAACTGCACCATCTGTGGTTCTGAGCTTGCAGGAGAGACCTCGGAAATGGACTTTTGGGGGAGTATCTTGGCATACTTTATTTGCTGCTTCCTCACACACCAGGGTGCCACACTTGATAAGGCCAAAATTGGCCATCTTAAAAGTGTTTTTCAGGATAGGAGTGCAGAAGTGACCTATGCTGCCATGTTCTTCCCACCATATATAGAATGCATGTAACCTTCTAAATTTAGGTTATGAGCAGTTTCTTTAGATTGTACCCTTAGTTACTTAAAAGAAAAACGTACGGGTAAAATCCAGCAGATGATAGTAATGGAAACTTTTTCCATGGTTTAGCTGTGTTAGTATATTAAGAGAGATTTCATGAGCTTTCAAAATATTTTTTACAGAACTAATTGGTGGTACTGCAATTTTATATTGATCAGGTATTGTCTCCAATTTCAATAATTAACTAGAATTTTGATTTCTAGGTATACCACCATTAATGGCAGGTGTTCCTCCAATGATGCCAGGAATGCCTCCAGTGATGCCTGGAATGCCACCTGGGTAAGTTTTAATATGTGGATTAATAGTATGATCCATACCTAAGCAAACACGCATCACAATTTCACATCTGTGTTATATCCCCAGCCTTGGAACTATTTTTTAAAGCTGCACAATAATTGTATACAACTTTCACAGGCATAGAGGAAGTGTTGAGTACAGGCTGCCACATCACTTCACTCTGATTTTGCCTTCTGGCCTCAGAAGATATGGAGAGAGTTGAGTGACAGCTCTCCATGCTTTGAATTAAGTCTAGAAGGTATGGAATGACACAGGCAGGGCTGTCACAGATGGCTACTGAAAGCAGGAATTTTCATTTCTCATAGATGAAAATCCTCAGATGACCTTGATAATCATACATCAGCATTTTTATAGTAGGTTCCAATTTCATGCCAATCTTTGTATTACCTAGGATGATGCCGATGGGTGGCATGATGCCTCCAGGGCCAGGAATTCCACCTCTCATGCCTGGTATGCCACCAGGTAGGTCAGGAGTGACGAATCCATACTGTGGTGAGAGTTACTTAATTTTGTTTTTAAACTGGTTGCTATAGTTGCTGTGCCCAAACTGCAAGGATACAAAGTGACACATAGATGCAATGGTAGTACACTTTATTTTTATAACAATTGAGATTGCTTGTACAGGGAAAAAACCTGCACTGTGTAGCTTCTTTTTAGAACTTCAGCATGTAGCAAGGAAAACTAACTGAGACTTGGTTCTGGCCAAGTTTTTCCCTGGATTCTGCCAACAGATTCTGAGTAACTAGTATAACTGCATGGTGCAGTATTTTCATTATCTCAAATTGATTTGCAACACAGATGGTGGTAAATGAGAATGATTTTATCTGACTCATGGTTGCCAGGGCCAATCTTCCCACGGGGCCAAAATCCAATGTATTATCAGAAGAAATTGCTATGTTAGTGGACCTCTGCTGCATATTTGGTTACATAAGCAGTAGTGGACCACTCAGTACACACAAGACCTTTAAATGGTTCACCAGTGGAATTCTAGTTGGATACTCCCTGTGCACCTACTTAAGTTTTACTTATATTTGAGTTTCATATACCAAGGTGTAATCCTTGTTCTACTCAGGGAGATTAAATTTCACATTTAATCTAACTGTTAACAGCTGATCTTCCTAGTTATTGAGTTGTGTTTCTGCAAGGCTATATTAATCAGCAGCAGGACTGCTTACAAAAAGTGCCTAACGTTTAGTAAATACTGTACAAAGCTTTAAAAAAAGCAAGGCAGTCCCTCCCCACGTACTTACAATCTAAGACAGAACAAAAAGAATAGAATGGGAAGAGGAAGAAAGCTAGCATATTTATGTTTCTTGGTTACATTCTCTCAGCAATATTACTTCGTCCATACTGGTGACCTTTCCTGCTTTAAAATACACATATACAAGCAACAAACCAAAACGTTGGTACCTAGAGGATGGCATATACTGTTACAAATTTGCTCTAAAATTAGATTTGATAACTCTGGTTCCTTATACCTTACAAGCTTTTCTGGCTGTTCCCTGTTAGAAAATAGGTTATTGTTATTCATTTAAAGTGTTTAATCTTCTCTCCAGCTGAAAAAGGCTTATATGGAGATTTACAAAAATCAATAGTAAATCCTTGCTCTCAGCCTTACAATCAAAAGACATGATACAAAAAGGATTGGAAGGGAAGAAGAATAAAGGACAGTCAAGCAGAAGGTAGTGGTTTTCTAGGTGGTCTTTATGGTAGGGAGGAATGAAGTAGGCTCCCTGCAGCCACTCCTCCTGGCTTATTTATAAGGTTGATTTCCCACTTGTCATGATGATCTTCCTTGGTCCTCCAGCTGATGGATGAGGCAGGAGTCTTCCGTCTTACAGTAATGTATGAGGAAAAAATTTACATGTAGTGATAGTAATTTTCGGAAAAGTACCACCAGAATAATTCTGTTATAGGTATGCCTCCACCTGTTGGTCCTCGCCCGGGTATGCCTCCCATGACACAAGCACAGCCTGTGACTGCACCAGGTGTTCTTAACAGACCTCCAGCTCCTGTCATCGCAGCACCAAATCCTCAGCCTCCGGTTACTAAGCCACTTTTTCCAAGTGCAGGACAAGTAAGGGTTTTGTTTAAAAAAAAAAAAAACCAATTTAAAATTACTTTGTGTTCTTTTCATATGTAAGTTGCATTAGCCAATTAGAGTGCAGGAATATTAATAGTATTCCACTGAGGTTGTGAGACAAATTACTTAGTATTTTTCTTATGTTATTTTGGATTTATTATACAGGTTTGTAAATGTACACATGCTGCCTTTCCTTCATCACCTGCACTCTTTCCTAGTGAGGAACTAGCTCAAAAGGAAAATGGGTTTTTGTATTTTTCTTGCAAAGGAATACGTATAGCTGAAAGTTGTTAGCAGGTGCTCAGGAACATATTCTCTTATTTAGTTAATTACCAATTTAACATCCTCAAGTATGAACTCCTGTTCTCATTAGAAAGAATCGGTGAGTGAATATATTCGGGAGTGTATTCCTGCACTGATTATTTTTAGTATATTCCATCCTTTTTTATTCTAGTCAAATCTTTACTTGCTATTTACCAGAGTGGAATGGTCTGCGTGAGAGGTTCATGTCCTCTACTGCTTAATGGGATTCATTGTAAATGAGTAAGTCTTTGGTACTTGTCTGACTTGCAAGCAGGATGCAGAGTTCTTCATAATGTATTTGTTGCATTTTGCACTTCTGCAGGGAAGAGACTCATTTACAAAATTGATCCAGGATCCATATTTTTGGTTATTTTTCACGCATTTATTTGGAGACTGTTTACTGTTTCCTTTCTTTTATGCTACAGATGGGGACACCTGTCACAAGCTCAAGTACAACTTCATCCAATTCAGAACTGTCAGCACCTTCTAAAGCTCTGTTTCCTAGCACAGCACAAGTACGCAGGAAGTTGCAGTTTAAAATTGCTTTGCTGGTTAACCCTTTAGACCGTTATGTAAACTTTAAAATGTTCTGCCTAAACATTTTCAGATACTTGTGAATTCCTGATTATGTTTAGCTGTTCACCCCAATTTGAAATTATTACAGTTTTCTTTTAACAAACCACACATGTTATTTGGGTTAAAAAGAAAAGAAAAGAAATGAAAGATTCTACATTGTGGCTCTAAAGGGTTAAAAAGGGAGCATGAAAGCAGTTAAGTGCATTTTAGTGGGCAGTGGGTTTACCTGATGCATGGTTTCTATTTTCTAGTTTATGCTGTTAATTCTGATGCATCATGATAAATGTAAGAAAATGGCAAAAATGGTATCATATGCTAAATCCAAACCTACCTAGCCCTGGTTTGGAGTTCAGTGATTAGTCCAAGATATGTGCTGTTTGCTTGTCAAAGCATTCTCTCATAAGTGAACCTAAGAGCTCTCTGATACATGAAACTAAGTAAAAGCTTTCAAGTAGTAATATTTTTTCCTCAGTGTAAACAAATGCATTTTAGGAAAGGGAACTAGCACAGATTATAAATGACTCTTTGAAATGTCTACTATGTTTTTATGTAGAGAATGCTTTTAAATTTATTTGGTTGAAATATTAGAAATTTTGACATTAGTATTCTTACCAAAAAAAACCCCTTCTAAATACTCTAATTCTGTCTGAATGCTAACTTACCTAATATGATTCAAAACTAAAAATTGCTAGATTAGCTTAATTACAAAAATACAATTTCTTAGTAAAAGCAATCTGGAGAATATTTTTAAAATGAGTGTATTGTGCGAAATTATTCCAAAAGGGCAGCAAGAAATGTATATGCAGTTTGTTTTGCTTCTGTTGGTGTTTTGATCTACTACATTCAGAGTTTGGTGTGTGTGCTTTTTATTTTTTACAGTTTGCTTTTTTATGTGAGAAGACTAAACTTTTACTTTCGGCTACTTTAGCTTTGCCAAATAGACTATAATACTGCAAAGGTTAGTAGTTTTGCATTTTAAATAGTATTGTACTTACACTTCAACTTTGTATTTACAGGCTCAGGCAGCTGTTCCAGGTCCAGTTGGTACAGATTTCAAACCTTTGAATAATGCACCTGCAACTACCACAGAACCCCCAAAACCTACATTCCCTGCTTACACACAGTCTACAACTTCAACCACTAGTACAACAAACAGTACTGCAGCTAAACCTGCTACATCTATAACAAGTAAGCCTGCTACACTTACAACAACCAGTGCAACCAGTAAGTTGATCCATCCAGATGAGGATATATCATTGGTAAGTTAAATAGGATTTTTCATTGCTATATACATTTTTTCACAAATAGCTGTACACTCCTCAGCTCATTCCCTAAAAGTTTAGAATTGCTAAATTTTGTAGTATATATTTCTCAGAGTATTAAAAATAGGTTCAAACCATTTTATAAAGCAGATTTGGAACATAAAAACTGTACTGGATCAGAATAGAGATCTCTCTAGTCTAACACTCAGTTCTCTCAAAGCCTGACGAGTTGCCTGTGGGAAGCCCATCTCAGGAGTGCAATAGTACCCTTTTACATGTATTCCCTAGCAACCTGTACTCAGTTACATAAATAACAGTACAGCTGTGAATATGAGTCATAAATTATTTTTCAACCAAAGTAGAAAACAGTAATATAACATTTCCTGATAGCTCATTTTATGATATATAGGTTATAATTATTTTGTTAGTTGCAAAGTTGTGCCTGACCCATCATGACCCCATGGGCAACATCATAATTATTAGACCTAATAATTATTACACTTCAATATAAATTTCTTTAACATTTATGTGGAAGTGTTCACTGTGTGGATTTCCTTTATTATAGTAACCTCTTGAATGCTGTCTGAGCTATATTTGTGCCTCAGAATGACTCATTTTGAGCTCAAATTGATCATGCTTGGTTCGTGTCTTTTCTTCATAGGAAGAAAGAAGAGCACAGTTGCCTAAATATCAGCGTAACCTCCCTCGGCCAGGGCAGGCATCCATGGGCAATCCACCAGTTGGACCAATTGGAGGTATGATGCCACCACAACCAGGAATTCCTCCTCAGCAGCAAGGAATGAGACCTCCAATCCCACCTCATGGTAATAACTCCTAAGCTTAAACTTGTTGGGCATGTATTTAATTTCAGAATTCAATAACTTCAGAAACATTATTGCTTAAAGATGGTTGTAATTGTTGTCTTTTGCATTTTGCATTGTAGGTCAGTATGGTGCTCATCACCAGGGCATGCCAGGATATCTTCCTGGTGCAATGCCTCCATATGGTCAAGGGCCCCCAATGGTGCCTCCTTACCAAGGTGGACCTCCTCGACCTCCAATGGGAATGAGACCTCCTGTAATGTCGCAAGGTGGCCGCTACTGATGCTACTACAAACGCTCTAATAGGTTTGGAGATTAAACCTTTTCTCATCTTGTGCTGTTAATATAGCCAAGCTTCCATCAATTAAAACTTCGTTGTGACTTTTAGAAAAAAAATATCTTTCCACATACAAGGAACTGTTGGACATTCTTATTTTTCATGGGAAAATTTATTTAGAATAATAAACAGAACTTTCCCTGATGTTGCAATTTATACTGTATGGCTTCTTTTTCATGTTTCATCTAGGTTTTTAGAAGTGAAGTATAGTAAATATGGTTCGTTAAATTGTGAAGGCGCTGGAATTACATGAACATACCATCTTAAAGGCAAGTTCTGTAATCTTACGTTGCTGTTCGTACAATGATGCCTTCACAGCACTTCAGGTGCTGTTGGACTTCATGTCCCCAACAATAGTTTGGTGAGGGCTTGTAACTGTTACCATCTCCTTGTACACTTAAGTCTGAATGTGTAACAATATTTAATGTATTTAGAGTTCCTCCTGTTGCAGGGTTTATTAAATTTACCCACTAAGTTCATGTGATTTTCTGTACTGTTTAACTTCATTGTAATAAAATGAAAGAAAAAAATTGTCTTTTTATTCATGACCAGCCTGTGGACAACTACCTGAAGGTTTGTACTGGTGCATGCTATAGTAGTTTGTGGTATAATAAACATAAATTTCCTGATGTTACATTGATATATTCTGAATTATTTGAACTCCAAAGTTACTACTTATGCTATAGCACACTCTTGAACAATTAGGCATAGACCTGTACACTTATTAACCAGTTGCAACAAATTTGTAAGAATTGGTGTGTTAGAGGTAGTCATCTTTTTTTTCCTGGAAGGTAAAAGCATTCTTTATTCCTTTCTTAGACTTTATCATAGCTCGTTCTATTATAAGATAGGTGTGCCATACATTTCTTATGTATAAATGTGCTTCTACTCAGCAAATTTTATTGTAGAGCACATTTCTTGGTCTGGCTTCAGATGATTCTTAGCACTGTTTCTGCCTCATGGGAAGGACCTCAAACTACTTAATCTAAGATTTTACAAAGCTTAGGTGCAAGAACAGTGAAGCATTTGCTTTTGTACTGAGAAATCCACCATAGGGTTTTATAGTTAACTTAGGAGCTGGAAAGGCATCGCTGCTTCTGAAGGTCAAAACGCCTGTAGGAAGTTGGGTATAGGAACAATCTGATTAAAACTGACAGCTGAAACCACCATACACAATTAACCACATTACATGACATAATTACCAGACTGGAAAGGCTTATATGCTTATACAGCTGCTTAAGATCGTGCTGTAAAATGTACTAGAACACTGGGGAGGTTTGAGCTGTTCCTTTAACTAGATTCAGTCCCCTTACTAGATTAGTGGGATAAATTTCCTAGAGTGGATGAGCAGCTGTTGCATTCCAGTTAAAGGGCATGGGAGGTTTTGCCCAAGTGCATTGGGTCTTCTTTTTACTTAGTGTATTTGGTACTCTCCTTTTGCATTAATTCTGGATTTTAGCAAGATCATGTATCTGCATGAGAGCTCTGGGTAACAAAATTCACTTGGGTATTCTTTCCTCCTTCACTTAATTATAAAAGCAGTTTCTGCCATTGATATTTTTTCTCTACCCACCCTCTTTCTGCTCATGGGAATTGTACTTGTTAATGCCACTGATTGTAATGTATAAATTGTTACTGGTTCACTTAGTAGTTTGAAACAGTCTACTTCAATCCTGTTGTTTGCTATTTGAAAATGTGGTAGTAATGGCTTAGTTTTCTATAGTGCTTTCCATACATGCTTTTTATAAATAATGGTCACAATTTTCAAGCTTGTAGATGTCCAAGTATGTCCTGCCTTCTAGAAATTCTGGCATTATGGTTTTCATACATTATTTTAATTTTAAATTAATCATTTTTGGATTATTTTGCCAAAGTAACTGCATTAAACATTAAGCAGCATCATTCACACTTCTAATATGCATTTTCTGTTGTTTGGCTACTCATTTCCCACAGAGTATTCCAAAATATGCAGTCACTTTCACCGTTCACTAATTACTTCACCCTTTGTACTGCTGAGCTCTTTCTTTTTGCCCTGAGATTGCCTTAATACAAATTATACATCTCCATTGACCATGATCCAAAGAATTGATATGCTCATAAAACTGAGAATCTGGAGTACATGTGGAACTTGCTTTGACCTTATTTTCATTATAAATCCCTCTATTGAAGAGGCAAGCAACTCCTCAGTTTAAAAGTAGCTTATCCAGCTCTGAGTCAATGGTATGAATGCAGTTTGTAGGGGGTATACCTCTTTGGATCTTGGTCATGTGCTTGTATGAGCATATTTTTCTGATCATGTGGCTGTGCCTTAGGATTCTCCCCTCCCCCCAAAAAAATCTCTGGCAAGATTAAACAAAAACTTACTTTGTTCATCCAGTGGGATACCTCTGATGATGATGTTCGAAAAGACTAGAGAGGGTTGCCTGTGTAGTGTGCTTGCATTACCGGTAATTGGATTGTATCTTAGTGGAGAGAGTCTTTCTGGAGTCAGTAAGTCCTTTCATTCTCTCCAAGAGGCAGAGCTGTTGCAGTGTTTTCAGTAAAGGTGGAAGAGCACAACCCAGTTTGTTTTGCTTCCATTGAGAAACCTATTGGAATAACTATGGTCAGGGTATAGTCAAGGTTTTTATGTTAAACTTAATTTTGTAGGAATCAAAATTCTGAATCAGATACTTACTTTGAACAAGATATGTTCTACTCATCTACAGCCTAGATTCAGAAAGTACAGGAAACCTTGGTTTCCCACTATGAGAATGACTCTCAGGCTCATGTATGCCTTCTATCTCTTCCTCTTTTGTGCCTACAAGGAGGCATTGAAAAGCTGATCTTTAACCACAGTTTGCCATAATGTCCAAATCTGGGGAAGTAGGATTTGTTTAAATTATAGTTAGAGAAAATCATGGTTTGTTCAAAAGCATTCACTTGGTTTGTAGTCACAAAAGCAGGGGGAATGTGCAAGGCTGTATCTACTCCTAATGGGAAATCAAGGGTTTTAAAAACATTTGAACCTAGTTATACTGAGAAATGTACTACAGCATCTTCATTTTGAATATGAAATATTTTAATAAGCACATACTTCTGACATGTTAAAATAAGATTTTTACTTAATACCATTGTCTTAATAACTGTACTGGTCTAGCTACTAAATAAGAGTGCTGTAAATTTCCTGAATATCAGATGGGATATCTAATGTCTTTAACTTTTACTAGATTAGCTGAAAATATTCTATCACTGATAGGGGAAACACCTCTGTCAGAGAATTATATAGCAAGGGCTAAACTGTAAGGTGAGCGCTCATGTTGGATTTTCACCCTCATACATTGATTTACAAATTCCATATCTGATTTGTGTGGAGCTAAAACCATGAGACCAAACCTTTGCGTGATCATTGGAATTTTGTTAATTTTGATTGCATGTCTTTTTAACTTAATTGGGTTGTGTTTTTCTAAAATTCAAATTTTTCTTCTTCCTATAGCCCTGCCATAGGACAGGCTGAGGCAGAGTCTCAGTGTTGCCCTGTTCAGTCTGAGGCAAGTGGGATTTATTTTATTCATTCTAGGGGCTTTCACAGCTTTATAGCTGTTGGATATTTATGTCCCCAAACTTGCAGCAAGTTTGGTGAAGGCTCCTACCTTTAATTTAATTTAGGATTTTTATAATCTTTTCATGGGCTCTATATTAATATTGACATTCTGGCTTGTGTGTGCTCAATTAACTGTTAGAAATCTTGAAATGGGACACTTGCTGTTCAAATATTCTTGTTTCAGTCCTCCAGTCACCTTCCCCTCTGAAACATGGTGTGGTGATGCTGTCTTTTAACAGTGAGATGGACATGCCTTTGAAATGGTGTCATGAATTAAAAGAAGTTCAAGAATTCTGTTGCCTGGATTAATACTGTTTTTTAAAAACCCATGTTATGATTAATTTTCCCCTTGACACATGCCTCTATAGTCTGCTTCACCTAAATTTATGAAATAATGTTCAATGGTTTATCATAAGGAAATATTAATGTAGAGCCTGCAGAGTGGAGGAAAATGCAGATGGGAGTTTTGTAAGATGGGAAAATGTTTAGTAGGAAACAATTTTATCAGCCTATCTTGAGAGGTATTTAAAGACCTTAATATATGCAATATTTATATGCTCTGGAAAATAAACATTCACATTTGGGAATTTTACTGTTTTAATAATGTTTCATTATCAAACTTGTGCTGAGTTCATATGAAAAAACTTCAGCAACTGTATAGTAAAGGATGTAAAACTCTGAGGAATGTTGATTAAGATTTCTATACAAATTATGTCTGCCTGTAGCAGCAACCCCTGAAACAAGTATAGTTATCAAAGAAGAATACACAGGATCTTCAAGACACTGAGATTTTCTGGGTGTCTCTTCAGTTGCCCTCGCAGATCCTCAAACTGCTTCTTAAACTCCACTTAGTTTTGAAATGTTTGGGGGTTTGGCATGAGAGCTCTTTCGAAAGGGAAAATCTGAGAAAGTACCATGTGCACACTGGTTTTATTTTTCCTTTAGAGTCTTCTCACTCAATCCTCAAACTGTTTTTTTGCCCTCAAGAACTGATTATTTTTCTTTCTTACCTAGAAATGTCATCTGTATCTTGTAATTTCATTGATGCACTCTTACAATATGCAGGACTACCTGTGTCATGATAATTAGCGCAGTCACCTTTCCCTTTCACTCCTCTCTCTGTCACACATGGAGAACCCTTTGTGGGCTTCTAACTTTCTAATGAAATTGTAATCTTGACTAATGTCTGGAAAGTTAAGTATGATTGCCTCACGATTGAACATAAACTGCATTCAACTCACTATTCAGTGAGTTGTCACTGTTGGACCCATAACCCCTGATACTTAATGGAGAAGATGGACACAGCTCTACAGGACAAAATAAACCTAAACAACTTTACATAAATATTGAAATCTATGCATAAATCAGTGCATTTTGTCCCTTAATAGCTAGCTTGTTGAAATACGCTGTATTACTGAAGAGACTTGAAATATAGAAGGGTTCTACTCATGGCTTCTGTTATCTTTGAAATATCCATGAGAAAAATAGCTGATGTTCTAGAATACCTTTATTGTCACCATATAATAAAACTGATACAGAAATGTGTGTCTTGATCTAAATGCATGATTTTAAACAGTCATCACTTTATATATAGGAGAAAAGTTCTTTAGTATTGAATAACCACTTTATTGACACTTGACCTATGTTTTATGACCTTCAGCTAACATCCAATTAGTTTTCCTGGCCTATGTTTTCAAACAGTGTTTGTGGTTGTAATGAGAAGTGAGAGATGTGTTGAATGAATGAATGTGCCTATTCAAACCAAGAGTATGTAACACTTTTGCAAAGGTGATCCTATACATTTTATGGATTTTCTTGCTAAGCTTTTGACTTAGAGATTTATAAAATAAGCATTTCCCTCCAGTAGAGATATTTTCTAGGGCTTTTGAATAAACTTCAGTAATAGCATCTCAGGTGGCTCATGGGATGTTGAACCTCATTCATTCTGGTTTTAAAATGAAATGTTTGGCTATTTTTTTAACTTGAGTTTTAGATGTAATAGAATTTAGATTTAGCCACTGTCCTGTAAAATACATTGTAGGAGTGTTTGCTCAGATTTTAAAGTTGTTCTGCCCCCACAGAACTTCAAAATGCTACCCAAACTCTCATGTTGAAAAAAGCTATTCTGGGATTTTGTACACTAGCAATTCGAAAGGCAACTGTCATTGGTGCCCATGTGGTATTCCCTCTTAATGCCCAACTTAACTTTTAAAAGCTGTATTTTTCAATGTTTCAGCAGCAGTTTGAGAGTTCTATGTGGACAGCTCTAGAATGGAAATACCTTTGAAAAGTTTGTGTGTACCCAGATGCCATACACACATATTTGCATTGCTGTTTTTAAGGTTTTATTCTTAACACACCCTGGCTTGAAGTTACAAAGTAGCATCATGTGTTAGTATTTTGTATTGTTTGTATTATTTGAAACTGAGCGGAAATTTGTTACAGTGTGCTGGCAAGACTTGATTTCCCCTTCATTCCAGGCCAGACTGCTGCTATTAGAGGCGCTTAAACTTCATGTGAAGCTTATTCATGGTGCCCCCCCGTGTGGATCTGAGGAGAATATGTCAAATGTTTTGAAACTTTAGACTAGTATGTATCATAGTTACAGATCTAGTTAGCTTTAGCAATGCAATGCTAGTCACCAAACAGTCTGATAATGTAAAGCAGCACTGATTTTGGCTGCTCTAGCTAGATTAAGCACAATTTCCTTTAAAATTGTATGCACCTGTATCTACTAAAGGATGTGTATTGTCACAGTAAATTGCACAATCACTTCAGACATCTTGCTGAATAACATGCAGTTACACTGTGTTGGTTAAAACGAATCTGTCTCAACATAATTAAGTGGAATAAAGGAATTATTACTAGAACAGAAACATAAGCTTTGCACCTCATGTTATGCAAATGTTTTCTGCTGCTTTTTGAAAGATAGTTTTAGAAGGCCCTATTCTAAAGTTAAAGTGAACTCTTATGTTAGCGGGTTCTTCCCCCTTCCACACAACCGTTTGTTGATCTCTTGCTTTTCATTTCATATCCTGAGAAGACATTTTAGGAGACTCATGCTGAAATGGAACATAATAGCATTTAATCTACTTTCACTTTTTTTACTTCTAAAAATGGAATATTCTCGCAATTGGAATGTCTCACTGCACTGTTGCCACACAGAACTGGTAACAGATATCTGTAATGGAGTGTACTGATCAGTGTAAAAAATGTGTTGAGGATAGTCTAGTGTAACCATAGACCAAAGAAGTAGTTTCTTTCCTTAAAGAAAAACTACAAAGGCACAAATGTTTTTTCTGATTGTTTTGGATCATTGATATGTGCCTGGCAAACTTTGCTTTCAAAATGCTTTATTTATACTTTAGTGCTAAAACTGTAGCTAGAGTTCTGTTTAAAATAGCAACTTGACTGTTTAGTTCAGATTTCAAATACGGTGCTCATACTCTGCCTTAAATAATCACTACTGACTCATTAAACATTTCAGGGCTCAGTTATCATTGCTTCTTTTGACTATTAGAAGTGATGCAAGAACAGAAACCCAATTTTCACTGAAATCCTTGAAGGAACTACATGCCTTATTTGGTGACTCACACCACAGCCACTTAACAGGCTGGTTTCAATTGTCAGTTTCAAGGAAAACCTAGGGGTGTAAAGGTTTTTGATGGGGGGGAGGTCTTTTTGGTTTTCAAATAAATGCAAGAAATTGAGTTTGGATTTGACATATAAGACTAAATTATGATTAAGATCCTTTTTGGTTTAATATAATTTGTGTTTTTGTTGACTAGCAGCAGAATTTCAGCATTTGCTACTTACTGGTAGAGAAGAAAAAAACCCACAGCACTGCCAGTACAGGTTAGTTTAATCTGTAAGTACCTGATGTTTGTTTGAAATCCTGTACTACAAATACCATGTTAGTACATGAGGATGGAGCCATGTGTAATCTGAAGAGGGTCACATCTTGCTACACCTGAAAGTAAGAAATATACCCAGGCTCCTATTTAGAAAGAAAAGAGATATTATAATAAATAACAAAGTTGGGGTTAGTATATAGTTGCACTCTAGTGAGAACTGCAGCAAAGCACTTTTAAATGGACAATGATTTGACTAAGTTCAATTCAGAAACCTGAGTCTTGTGGGGTAAATTGGAATTTTTGGCATTACAAAACAGGAGTAACATTCTGAGTCTTTCTTCTTAGCAGTCCTTACAAACCCCCATTGGCACAACTTTGTCAACAGATGAGCATATCTTTGCTATGATGGGTATTTACACTATTCCTCTGAAACTCTTGGCCCTTGAATCTCAACACCTCAGAGTGTAGAAAATTCTGCTAGGTAGTCTCTTCTTTTCAGCTGGTTCTGAATATCCAATATTATTTGTCTCAATTTTCTTCTTTTGTTCTTGTTTCTCCTGTTTGTAGTAGTAGATGATGTGTTTCTGTAGTGCTGCTAAACTGGTGGTTTGTGCACAAATGTAGTTGCATCATATTAGAACTGCATGTTTCTGTATCTTTAATTTTCTGCTGTTATATATAGCCAACTTAGTTGTGGAACTTCTTAAATGCTTAAAAAACTGCTCTGAAAGTAGCACACTAAAGCTGTTGGCAGACATTAAGGCATTTTAAGTAAAGTTGAGTACTGGCCGCATATAAGAGTAGAAATATCAGTTGTCTCACTAGTTCTGGGAATATTTTTGGCCTCTTAATTGTTCCATTTTTATGAAACCCACTGCTGCCTCTATTCTTTTGCAGTCTCCATATTAATACTAGTTACATGTTACATGCAGAGAGTACTGGCTGTTCAATAACTATGAAACTTCTCTCCTTAGAATTACTGAAGTCTCTACCTGAGCAGCTTTAGAATGCTTCTTAAGACCTTCCTGTTTGAGCTTTTTCTGTGGGGTTGGGTTTGGGGTTAAATAGGCAGAATGAGGAATTGTTCTATGAGGAATCATTTAATTTTATTCTGATAATTGGTTATTTGAGTGGTATTAGTTGCATTACCTCACAATCCTTGGGCTGGAGTAAGCTGAGGCTGAAAATAATGTTATTGCTGTCATCTTATGAGAGACTAAATCTATGTCATACCTACAGCTATATGAGACTTAATTAAATGCTTCACAAAGCTACACTAAATGAACAAAAGTTAAGTCTGTAAAACTAGCTGCACTTGCTCCATAGTAAATATGGATGCATATGCCAGAAGAACCCTCCCATTATGAAAAGCCTATTTAAGCTAGGGTCCCCTTCAGAATATATGGAAGTTCCTCATTCTTTTATTTCTCATTTCAATTTCTCTTGTTGTCAAGATTGAATAATTGATAGTTTGCCATAGGGCTGTATAAATTTGGGCAGAAGCAGAACAATGATACCTTTTCACCATTATCATCCCTCAGCTTCAGTTAATTGGGGCATCATGCTGAAAAAAATTACATTGCCCAGGATGAACTTTCCAGAAGAAACCGTGAACATTCAAAAGCAGTCTTTCATTTAGGAGACCTTTTCTTTAATACACTAACACAATGTAGTGTAAGAGGTATTTGTCTGAGGAAACATGATGACTCACTTGGATCCAGTTCTCCTTCCTTTATTTTAAACTCCCCTTATTTTAACTATTCTTTTTTAACGTGTGAATGAGTGTGTGATTGTCACCAGGATCCCAGTTTCTTAGAAAACTAAGCATCTAGCTGACTCTTGTGAGAAGTAACATCAGCATGTTTTGGTCATTTCAGGAAAGCAATTTTCTGAGTGGAGATGAGGGTTATTGCTTCATACAGACTCATAATGGCACAGTTAGGCACTAACTTTGAACCAGGATCACATTCATATTAGGTGTTATTTGTGGGTATTGATAGTTTCTGAATCAAGGGCATTTCAGCACTGTTATGCTTATCATACTGCTGATGACATTGATATGACCATGCGCATTTTGAGTAACCAAACTTTATTTATTTGGTTTGGCACAGCAACTTTAATTTTCTAGAAGAGTACACACTAAACATTTGGGCCTGTTGATATTTTATATATTTGTAAGCAGCTCTACATGGTATGAAGTGGCTGTCTTGTCCTGCGTATTGCAGCACAGGTGCTTTGCTAGTAAGTTAAGTGTCTCACTGAAGAAGTTTATTGTCAAATCAAGTACAAGAAACTGTGTAATCTTACTCTGATTTTATGAATGCAACTTATGCAGTTCTGCAGACACCAGCAGTGACAGAAAGGGAGGCATCTCATTTCAGATGCAACAAATTGGTAAGTATCTAGTTCTTCGATGCTTCTTGTCCATAAATGTTTGTAGTTTCACTCATGTAACATTTTGCTGATGAGAGTAACATAGAGGAGATGTGAAGACAACTTGCTTATATATTTTCCAGGCATGATTCTTTTTCTGAATAAACATTCTCATCTGTACTTAAATTAAGCTGTGTACCTTCCTTTTCTAAATTAAATTTTGAATCATAGCAAATTACTGTGCCTGTGTGTTCTTCATCCCATTTGATCCTGGAATATTTGCATAGAATTCTTCATAGAATTAAATGTCAAGGTTTTGTTTTCAGTTGAAAAAGACTGATAAGGCTATTTTTAAAGCCATTTAGCTTGCAGTGCTGTGCAAACTTGAAAAAGTAAATCCATTGAGTTCAGTGGAACTTACTTAGAGGTGAACTTGAATAGGCATCAGTTACATAACTGAGGAGAGCCAGGACATTATATTTGATCTAGAGCAATGCTTAGTGGAGTACGGCTCACACAAGAGGCAGCGGGCAGGGAGGTGATTTTTATGATAATTCCTTTGCTGTGCCTCTTGAAAAGCTGCTTTGGAGGGCTGGAGTAGCATACGAAGCAAAGGAGGGAGAAGGAGAAACGAACAAAGCTGCATCTGGACCTCATCTTCCAGCAGGTAGCTCTTGCTGGATCTCTGCTTTCTGCATACTGAAAGAACCTTTCTATTCATAGAATGGGCAATCTGGATCCAACTCAGTGATTAGAAATAACAAGGTGTTTTTGCAACTTGTTTAAAAAAAACCTTTCTAAAAAGTGCTTGCATAACTTTGGAAATTAACTATAGATTTTATGGTAGCAGTATAAGTAGAAAAGTACCAAAACTCGTTGCGGGCTTTGAGACTCACTCCAAGTTAATTACTCAAAAGCTGAAATACAAGGGATTCTGTATTTTAATATGGCATACTACCTCTTCCTGAACCTTGCGTGCTCTAAAGGCTCTTTCAGTAGGTGAGAGAATGTACTGTTTAATACAGTCTGGTACAAAATTGTTCGCTATCAAGGTACAAATCAGACTGTTCTATTGACACATTCTCATTATACCTGCAACTTGGTAAATCTTCACAACTATCATAGTAACTAAGAAAAGTGCTAAAAAAATGTAGCAGACTTCTTGACTTCTTATTTTGAAATTTAGGATAACCTAGCTATACCAGAAAACATGTCAGCAACAATTGGCAACATTGGTATTCTTGCTGCCATAGTCAGATACAAATTTTTTGGTTTAGTTCTTTTTGGCACAAAATCAACATTTTAAATGAGATCTGAGCATTGATTTTAAAAATCAGGTAGCAAACAGCATGGAGGAAACACCCTCAAAGATCAAAATAAAATCTTTAATTGAAGCTAGGACTTTATTGCCACTATAGGGCTTATAGATTACCTGTACGAACATCTTGTATAACAAGAAAACATGCTTGTTGCTTGCTATCGGCAAGGCTTCTCTCTGCCATTTGCTTGAGCTGCTCTGTTACGGAATATTAATAAATTATCTGTTTGCTCAGCTTAATGTGAAAGTGGCAGAACACTGCACGAAAAATTAATGACCTACTAACTGTAAGAGAAATGAAAGTTTGGCTAGAAGAAAGTTAGCCAGGAATGGAAAATGAGATATACTTTGGAAGCTTCTGGAATAGGTCTGCTTTTCTCTTCAAGTTGTTAGTGCACTTGGCACATATCTCTGATAGGTGCTTTGATGTTGCTCTTTCATTGCAGTGCACTACATTCTAATCCTGAGAGCATAACCAGCTGCAGAATATTGGAACAATTCTTGTTTCTGTTAGTACTTCTCATTTCATAGATCAACCATTCTCAAAATACATAAAGGACCAACCTAGGCAAGCCACAAGTTTATACAGAATTCCGACCTTTCAGTAAGCTGACCTTCACCAAGATATATGAAGAATGGGTGACACACATTGCTTCATATTACTCCTGAAGTATGGCTGGAAGCCACAGGGAGGGGCCAAGGCAGGAAATACTTAAATGGTCAAGCTTTCCATGTCACTGTACTAGCAAGCAGGTCTTGTGTAAATTGTCTGGATTATGCAATTCCTATTCTAGCTTTAGATGAACAGCATTGGTAAGGGAAGTAAGCATATGATCTAAACTACTTCTGTTGTTGCTCTGCACATGTGATATGGGTCACTTATCACATGACAGCGGTTTTTTAACATCTCATGCAATGAGCTGGGTCTTAGTGGGCAAAATGTCAATCTTGATTTGTTGCTGTAATGTGTTTTGAACTCCATTGGTGGGAGGGATAGCCTACAATGGAAAAATCTTCAGGCAGCAACTCAGCTTATGTCCTCTGTTGATGTTTCTGTACTCTACATGACTATCCCTGAAAACTGCATATCTTGTTAAAAAATTGTATAAGGACTCTAATACCTAACAGATGGGTTGTCCTCTCCATTTTATTCTCATAGCAGTCCTGTGAGTTAGGTTAGACCGTGAGTCTGTGGACTAGCCCAGAGTCACCTGATGAGCGTTGTGGTCGAGCAGGGTCTAGAATCTGGATTCTGAATCTGAAGTCTTGGTTGAATACGCTAACCATGATGCCACACTGGTTCTCTCTTCCTTTTTAAAATCTTAATTTTGGGGTTTTCTCTGGGATGAGTGAGTGACCTTTTTTCTGTTGAGACCAGAGGCAAAAGTGGTAGGATATACTGTGTCTCCTATCCCCCACTTTTTTCTTCTCCATCTCCGGTCTTCCAAGGAAAGAACAGATGGTTCTTTGAGATCACATGTGTCTGAACTCATCACATGTACAGCTTTTGAAATGAGGTTGATGCCTGCATGAAACTAGGATGAAGGCCACAGGTTGCCCACCCTGGCTGTACAATCATAGAGAGAATGCTGAGAGTGTGTTGATCTTCCTGCCATGGCTGATGAGTGGGAAATGGTGCAGAATGCAAGAGAAGGCTATGTGCATATTCTAGGTGTAGGTTCCTAATGTTAATGGTCGCTAACAGCCAGCTAAGAACCTGTGGTAAACTTTCTAGTGCTTCAGGCATGGTGCTTTCTTTCTCCATGACTCTAGATTGCCAACTGAAGGTATGTGAAGATCTAATTGTATTAGGAAGTGATGACATCTGAGGGCATTTCTATATTTTGAAGAATTTAGACCTACTAGCTGGAAGGTGGGAACTACTCCTGTATACTATATTAATAGAGGACAACCCATCAGTGCCTGCTGTTTCTTTGTCCTGGTACCCAAGCTTCTGAATGGTATACCTTCCAAGACAACACCTGTGTTTCTGGAGACTAGGTGATATACAACATTGCCAACATTGGGAATGACTCATTTGGCTGCATCCCTATAGTATCAACTAGAATTTGGAGGACTGTCATGTAGAAATATAGATTGGTAGTTTAGGAGTCTTGAGCCTTTATGAGTCTGTAAGCACATTAGGAATTTTGAGAAAGCATCATGGGTGCCAAATCAAAATAGTTTCCGAATGGGAGTACCCCTTCAGAAAATGGCTACAGTGCTGGTAAAGCTCAAAGACAAGTAATGTGCCTAAGAACCTGAATGCAAGACAAAGATGAGGACTGGGCCCCAAAACATAAAACCACTCATTTAACCTCACACTTTTTCTCTAGCAGAAGCTCATTTCACAAAAAGACAAACTGGTGGTGCCCCTAACACAAATGCACAGTTCACTCATTCAGGATCACTCCCCTAAACTCTCGTCCCACAGTGTCGGTGCACAAGGTCCAGCCCCCACAGACGTTCTTTTCTCACACATTCTGTTTCACACACAAATGCACACCTCTTCCCTGCTTTCTCCCTTCCTTTGGACAGGCATCTTTGCAGGCATCTGTTCTCCTCAGGCTCCCCACCGAAGTCCTGGTCACTTTGTTTCCTTCCACCCATCAGTCACCCCACCGCTCTTCCTCAGTTTCCCCATTGCCTTTGCCAAGCCTTCTCCCACCTTTGCAGCCAGAAGTAATGAGATCCCTTGCTCCCTTTCTTGGGTGCTTGGAGCACTTTAAAGCAAAGTGCCATGTTCCAGCTCCTGCCATCTTTATTTCATAATATCTCTTTAAGTCCATGTGGATCCGAAGACATTCAGGGGAGCTAAGGCAGCAGGTGATTGCAGTCCAGCGCTTCAGCTGGAAATGCTCCCAGCCACTACAAGGTTATTAAATAAAATTAAACTTCTTTTAAAAATACAGGTATCAGCAAGGCACTTTGTGAGCTTGTGTTTCCAGTGGTGCCTGTGAGCACTGCATTAGCTATTACCTAAAGGATAAGTTTAGAAGTGCTTTATGCATACTATTAAAAACCCAATGCATTATTTGATAGTATTCCTCAATAACCCATTGCGCACTACCACTCAGTGACACATTGAAGGAGTGGCTCTTGGTCAGCATGCCTCCTCCAAGGTGACACATGTATTAGGTTTCCCTGCTTCTAAGTGCTCAAAAGTTCTTGGAGCTAGGTAACATCGTGAGGTAGAAATATTGTATTAATGTCACTTTTTTGTGGTGGTCAAGGTTCAAACATGGCAAACATCCCCATCAACTCTGTACATTTAACTGGACTTTCAAAGGTCACCTGTAACTTAATTATTTGGAATGTAAAATAGGCTCTCTGCTGCTCCGATTCTGCTCCCAGCTTCAGTATTTCATTGTCCTACCATTCACTTTCAGGGGCTCATGATCCCATGACTTAGTGCTTGCTCTGGAAGAGGCAGCCGTTTTGTATAAATCACAGGAGCAATGCTGCTGTGTTGGTATCATCATCTAAACTATTCACTAATGTAATGGCTCTCATAAATGCCAGTGTCATTGTTAATAATATTTGATTTTATATCACACAATATACCAGAAATGAGTGCCTTTGCAGCAACACTAATTCAGAGGAATATAATTATCCACAACTGGAAGTCAGTCACAAGGTGACAGACTTGGCAGCAGTAACACATTTATTTTTCAGAGACAAAATCAAGTGTGTAATGAGTGGATTTCAACCTAGCCAACTGGTCTTTCCCCTCCCCTCCCCTCCCCTCCCGATGCACCCCTCCAATCTACTGGAGGATCCCCCAACCCTCCAGAGCAGAGTATGAGGGAATGCAGATAGATGCAGAAGACAGAAAGATGATGCTCCTCTTTCCACTGATGGAAACTGTTCTGTTAGTGGGATAGGTTAAGTGGATACCACCTGAGATCTCTGCCCCG